CTCGGGATGGGACTTGGGGTAGGTCATAACGTGGGGGGTTTCAAGGGTGGGACGGAGATGGGACAAGCTCGGGCTGGGTGCGGAAGTGAAAAAAAACAAAGCAAAGGTTCTCTTTTTCCGAACACGGGCTTGAACTCCCCTTGAACTACCCGAGCCTCCTACTTCATGACCTAAGGTCAGAGTCAATCCGTTGCATCCCAGAGGCTGGCCGATCATGGAGATGTCGCCGCCGGCTGCCATGGCCTGCCGCTCCGAGAAATCCGAGTCCCGAAGAGTTGCTGCCTACAGCCTTCACAACCCCTCAAGTGCTCCAGGGTTTTAGGGCTTTTTTTTGCAGCCGGGGTGACTCTTTTACGTCTGCCCGAAGTAGGGGTTTCGGGCTTAGGGCCCGCCCCTGTCTCCTGGCCTCCATGAAGGCTTTGGTACCGGACTTGGCCTCCAGCATGGAAGCGGGAAGCGGTGGAGAAAATGTAGGGGCAATACTAACTAGAATAGGGTCCTGTATCGTGTATCTATAATAAGGAACCCTAACAGTAATATTGGTAATTATTTGAATTTAGGCTACTCTATTACGGGGCTTCGCAGTCCAGTCTCGCTGCGAAACATCCAGTTCTGAAAAGCGCCGACCTCAACCAGAAACAGGGAACATCATAGATAAATCGATCGAGCGACAATCGTCCCGAGGTTGTTGATCAACTCCTCAGGATTCGCTTGCATTCGCCCTGCTTCTGAAGTCTGAGAGCTCGCGATGAGGATACATAGACTTACCAAGGACCCGTAGCCTGCGTTTTCCAAAAGTGCTGTGCAAACCTCTTGCAGCAGCAGAGGCTTCTACAGCCTCCGGAGTGGGTTTGTGCTGTCTGCAGGCTGACACCGCAGGCACAGGACGCTTGACAACGCGCCCCTTTCAAGAACCTTGCCACGATTCCACCCCGTCTTAAGTCTGCAGCAACCTCCAATGGAATGAAGGCCGAGGAACGTTCTTGGTCATGCCGATGCCGGAGTCTTCGATGGTCAACGTCGAATTGGTCTTGTCCGGGATGATCTCAGGTGCACGAAACTATCAAGCTGCAGGCACTGGGCGAATAGTCGCGGGTATGGAAACCTGCCCATTGTCCCAACAAGCTGCACGCGACCACACGATTCCGAAACAGGCCCAGGAGCTTTGATGAAGAAGTTGGGCTGCGCCTGCACTGGGGGGGAGAACATCGATGCTTCTCTTCTTCGGGATTATGCACTTTCGCTGTCACAACGGCATGTTTGTGATACCAATGATGCCAAACCATCTGAGCCCAAATGTTCATCTGATGATTGCTCCCATTGGCTCAGCAGACGCATGTGACCGGAGTCCGCATGTCACCGCATGTCTCAACGCTGTGCAGTCACTCCCCACGTTGCCTCGATCTTGTCTGGATCAGTGATCGATTCGTAGCGGATCTTGTCCAAAGCCTCTGTTTCAGCTCTTATGGCTAGGGCGGTCATCTGAACTTCGAGTGAGGAGCCCGCCAAGAAGTCAGCCCGATGCCCCAGCTCCAACGTACTCAAGATCAGGGACTGTATCCTGAACCATCGGGCTTGCTGCTGCGAGCTGCATCCGAGGCGTTGGAGATGAGCTCACGCAGGAAGATCTCCTTGTTGGAGTAGAAGGTGTTGATGATCAAGCCTCGCCAGCAGATAGAACACGCCAAACCCACCTTTTCACACATCGCTGTTTGCTCTCGGATCCAGCATTCGTGCATATAAAGTCACACGGACACCTTTCGGGCATCTGCTTATGATTGCTTATGAATCGGAGACCTGAAGCCTAGCACAGAACATCTGTTGGTCCTTAGAGAAAGGCTGATATTTTCGGACATTACATGACAGATCTACAGTCTGCATGATGGAATGTGCCCAGAAACTCATCAGCTGCTGGATGTCCGCGTTGAATGCGAAAGTCTCCGCCATGATTGTCCTTGCTTTGGATCTTGCAGCTTACGACATCCGGGCGGATTAGCTGGTTGGCTAGATCGGGGTTGGGAGATTGATCAAAAACAACGATCGCCCCACGTCCCTTAAACGCCAGGACTATTAGGAAAACCTCCCGCAAGCCACAATTCAAAGCCAGCAGTCGTCGGAGCTTTCCGAGCTTTTCAGACGTCCGTGAAAGACAAAACTTGAGCCGATGGTGCTGCAAAGCATGCCTGAGTCTACGAGCCTCATGACCATGATGCCGCAAGGACACCGTCGAGCTCTCCACAATAGAAAATTGGAGTTGCGTAAGCTGGTGCGACCCTATGCAGCCGTCGTCGCACTTTCGCTTCGCAGTCGATCCTCTGAAACAAGTTTCTTGCCAAACTCTGCCTGCTGTACAGTCGGCCGAATCTGGAGACTGTGTTGGGGGGATCATGCACAAGTGCGCACCGACGGCTGCGGTACGAACTACTGAGTGGCTCAGGCATCCTAGTCCTAGTCCTAGTCGACCTCCTCCATCTTGGAGGCCTCGTCGGCCGCGCCCTCGACTTCCTCAAGCGGGGGCAGGTCGTCGTCGTCGCCCAGGCCCTCATCGTCATCGTC